TGTTTTCTGTAGCACATGTTGGGCACTGTGGGGTGGATTAGCATTTTATCCTTTCATTTTTTTCTGATTATGCAGATGCTTTAGAGGCTCAACTCTGCCCTAAAACAGCATGCTTCCCATCTCCCCTGCCCAGACATGGCACATGGGAATGAGGGCAGTTTCCACATCCTCCTTTCACAACAATACAGTCCCATCTCATCTTAGTATGGTGTAAAAACAGATTACCTAGTGGCAGTGTTTAAAGCCTATTTCAAAACTGCATAAAATCAATGGTTATTTTTAAATTCATCTTCAGATTTACAGTCATTCAATACAAATTTTCTTTAATCCCCACAGCGTAATAAGAGTTTTGATCAACAATTCTATTTTCTCTCTTCTCTCAAAAGGAAAATGAAAATACGAATCTGTTCTTTCTCATTAAGGAACTGCCAGAACAAAACAAGTAAGTCTTCAGCTTTCTGTACAGGGCAAGAATCTGCTAATCGCAGAAAAGGTTCTGCTTATGCCATGCCAACCCATCTTTGTCATGTGAGCCTACCAGTTCGGGTTCCCTGTGAAAAGTTACTTCAGCAGCCACCAAAGACAGCAGTGAGGTTCCTCAACCTGTGCAAGTCAGAACACCTGCTGCTTCCCCATCTGCTTCTGCTCATCCACACTGCCAAATCAGGCTGAATGGGAGAATCCAAGTGGAAGCATTGCTGAGAGTGTATGTAGGAGAGGTGTGATGCACTGTACCTCCAGATCTAACACCACACAAAGCTGAGCTGTCAATAAGAGATAAGGGAAGGAAGAGTAACTGCTTTTTTGGCATCTATGGAAGCAGGAAGGCGTCTAGCAGGATTCTAAAAAGCAGCTGCTCTGAATGTTTTTAAAAAATTGCCTACTACCTCTTTCCAGCTTTTGATAATTTGCTCTTTTTTGATCACAGTTTCCAATGAAAATTCAGGCTTTGCCATGCTAAGCAAACCCTCAGGAATGAACATCCTAGGCTGTTGTGACAAGCAAAGGAAGTGCTTTTAGTCCTATTCTTCAGATATAAAAGCAGAAAGGGCAAACTCTCCTGTAAACATGCAGGAAGCCCAGAGCAGAATAGCATCTTGAACTCAGCCCTCTGATTGTCAGATCTGCATTTTTCATCACACTTGTGAGCATACAAATCTGTCTTTAAATCAGTGCAGGAGAATACAGCACTGCATCAGAGGTGGGTGACTGCCAGCATACAAAGCTATTTCTGCAAAGCACTGAATACAGAACTCTGAATATTTTGCAGTTAGCTTTGTGCAGTGTGTCATCCAGGCATGGAATTCACTGCCATTAGAGGATGTTGAGTCAAAGGCTGTAGCTGAGTTTCTCAAAAAGCTGAAATGCAGCTTGGTTATCTTAGGCTAAATGAAAACTTTTTTTTTTTTTTTTTTTTTTTTTTTTTTTTTTTTTTTTTTGTGTGTGTGTGTGTGTGTGTGTGGAGTGGCAGGGAATAGGAAGTGGGATGGTGGTTTGTGCATGGCCTAGTGCTTCTGAGTCTAAGGCTGGGTGCTGATTGCTGAGCCAGGAAATAAGCAGACAGAAAATCAGTGACTGTAATTTTTCAATGGAAGGACAGTCTCTGTTTCATTTAGCTTTTGGATTGTTTTGCCCAAGTTTGACAGATAAGAACTTCATCAGAAGCTTTTTAGACCATTTTCAGTGTATGTGTTAATCACTGAAGAGAAAGCATATACCAGATATATATCTTTCCTTTTGCACTTTTGTTTTGAACGGGGTCAGTAAACACAATACACAGAATAGCTGTTAGTACAGTGAGGACAAGAGGATTTTACTACAATTTGTGCTCTAGAAGTATTGACCCCTTCCCTCCCAACCAAAACAAAGCACAGAGATAAATAAGAGGGAGGCAGAAACTATCCATGATCTCAGGTGGTTAACTATTTCTGAGCTGTCAAGGTAGTGATCTTTATTGAAGGTAACGTGAAAGCCTAGTGAAACAAGGTCAGTTAAACATTGATTTGGTGTTACTTAGCTCCAGAATGCTTTAGATTACATGGGCCAGGGTTGCTTTTAATCATAACTCCTGCTTTGACAAAGTGAGCAGTAGGCTTTTATATAATGGATATTATCATATACTGCAGAGAACAGTCCTGCACTGGCAGAGGAGGGAAGCTGATGACATAATAGGTCTTCTCCCTCTCAAAGTTATGTGATTCATCAATTAAATGAATTCAGTGGGATAAAGCAGCATAAAAGGCAATTTCCCTCTAATACTGCCTGCTGATTAACTCTTCCTTCCCCATTCCACTCACACGGCTCGAGAACGCCGGCCGATTCTGGCAGAATAATACAGTAATGAGCCCCAGCCTGAGTCGAGCTCCGAATCCGGTAGGCCGTGCAGCAGGGAAGTGCGGACTCTTCAGGGGCAGCCGCCACCCGCCGTGGCTGCAGAACGGCTCCGTGCAGTACGTGCAGAGCTCTGAACCGATCCCGCTGCTCCTCTGCGAATGCCGAGATTGGCCACCGAGAAAAAGCGGCCGCTGCGCACTTCCTTCGGTCCCCAACACCTTTACACCCCCCGCCCGGCCCGGCAAAGGAGTGTTATATGTGCACCTGCACGGGCCGCCTGAATTTCCAGCCTTTCTTTTCTTCTTTGGAGCGATGACGCTCCAAACCTAGCGGAGATGCCCGCTTCTTACCCCCTTCCCTGATGCGCTGCCCCACCGCACCCCGCCAGGCTGTCCGGCGCGCAACGGCCGGGCCCATGAGGCTGGGACTACAGCCCGCATTGCGTCGGGGGCGCGGCGCTCGGTGTACCGCGGCGGCAGAGGCCTCGCTGGCGGTGGAGGACAGCTCGCGAATCGGGGGAGTGTGGTGCGGTAGACAGCGTGCCCGCCCCCCTCCTCTGCAACTTCCCCCCTCCCGCTGCCAGAGCTGCATCAAACAGCTCTCAGGTTTCTGCTGATACTGCAGCGTCAAGACATGGATCGAGTTTGCTCCTCTCTCTTACGTATTCAGCAGTCCATTTGCTCTTGCCACATGCGTCCATCTCCTGCCTCCTGCTGCTGCTGCCGTTGGGACGAGCCAAGAGCCACTCCGGAGATGCGGTTGCGGGACTGCGGATCTCTCACGACTCTCTAGCCAACGCTGTCCAGCACCCGGCTCCTTCTCCAGATGTCTTAAAGGAAGAGATCGGGAGAGCCAGCAGATACTTAGGACAACCTTTTTTTGTTTATTAATTCAAGCCTTCGGAAAAAGACACTTTGCACGCTCTTCCACCCGCCGACTCCCTCACTGCGGTTTTCAGCAGAAACTACTTAAACCCACTCGCCCTTGGTGCAGCCTGTGTGCATGAATATTTAAGTGTCTTGCAGGCAGTGCTGTACGGTGACCGCTGTGTTATTAAGAAAGGTGCAATTGGAGGAGGGTTGAGTTTGCCACTGCGGTTTTTGTTTTGCTCAGATTCTTTTGGATGGTGCTGCAAGACAGCTTGTCGCATTCTGGCACTGGCTCCTGTTCCTAATGAGCGCATCTCACACAGAGCAGGTAAGGAAAAGCCCCCTCTGTTCCCCAGCTCTTGGACCCTAATTTGACAGTTTGGGTCTGGAATGTCAAAATTCATTCCTATGTCTCCGTCTCAGTTGCATTTAGCTGCTGCAAAGCAGAGGGGAGATGCTTCACTCCTTCTCCCCATATCCCTTCAGTCTGTGTGATGAAGTTGTCAGTGCTCAGCTAAGTCTCTACCATCTGCAGAGTGGGATGCATGGTGGTCAGGAAACTTACAGCAGGAGCTGATCCCAGTGAAGTTGCATGGTAAGCCCTCCATGGAAGCACTCAAGAAGAGCACAGCAAGACTGCAGGTTCATATTGACCTCTTCCTGTCCTGGAGGTGCTGTTGTGCATTCAGGGATGTACAGGAATGTGTAAGGCTTTTCATATGCTGCCATAGTGAGCAAAGCAGGATATTCTTGCTGATGTGAAAGCTAATCCGTTGCGGTGGAGTATGTATGTGTAGTGGGACTTGAGGGTTGATTTATGATGCTTCTTTCTCTCTTGGCAGCCTCCATTCTGCAAGTGAGCTTTATGTCTTTAAACACTGAATATCTCCATCTCTTCTTCCCCAGTGCACGAGAGGACCGGGGCAGTGGGGGGAAGGAGAAGCGGGGGGGTGGAGGGGGGGGAGCTAAAAAGCACAATGGAAGAAGCCAAGAGAGAAAGAAGCATCATAAATCAACCCTCAAGTC